GAGTACATGGTTCAGGGTCTTAAATCATTAAGCTCCAACACAGTTACCAGTTACAGTTTCCATTGAAACAACATCTCACAATCAAAGCTGATTTAACAAAATTAGATATACCGTATTTGACGTAATAAGTGCCCAGGGTGCTCTCAAAATTAAAAATAGGGGGTCCTATTATTAGAATATTATTTTAGAGGAAAAAGCAGAGTTGAAAGATAAATTTTGTGGTTTATGCTGACAGCCTGAAATGTTTATATACGACAGATATATTTTTCTAGAATTTAATTGCCCATAATGAAGGGTGCATATGACACATTATATGCGAATAAATAAGTCTTGTGTACATTGATCAATCGGAAGGGGTGCTAATTGGGATTGTTCACTAGCCAATATATTAGCAATTATCGCCGTGGGCGCTTATTACGTTGAATACGGTACATGTACTGAAAAATTAGGTAATAATTTTGTACCTGCACACTGATTCAATATCTAAACTATGAACACTGCTGGGGATGGAACGATTCACTGAATAGGTGTCAAGATACCATAGGTGTCAACTATATATGTACAATAATCTTAAATGCAAAAAACGCCCATTTCACCCCACAACAGTAACATAATTCTCCAGTGAGAGAGCTAGGTCAGCATCACTCTGAACAGTTAATATGTCAGTCATATCAGTGCTTGTCAGCTTGCCGTGGAAAGCCCAACGTGACCCAGGTCAAAGGCATGTACATGTACCACCTTGGGGAAAGACTTAACATGTACTGTACAAACTTTTAATCATAATAAGGGCTCTTAACCCAGGAACAATGGATGCAGGCACGCTCAAGGGATGCAACTCAAATGTAAATGTGACTGCATCCTCAGTGTGAAATTAACTTTTGAGCATGGATATTGTAACTCCCACAGAAACTGGGTGGCTCAGTTGTCTGAGGCACCGCAATTCGCAAAGCAGAGTTGCATCCCTTGGGCATGTCAGAAACCTATAACTTTGGGTTCGAATCCCAATTCAAACCGATTATGTTTCTAGGTTTGTCAGCACCATACCCATGCTCATGGGTTTCAGCAAAATTGTAAACGTCTGAAACCTGCATCACTGTGGGCTTTCCTCCTACATTGAGCTGAATGCCAAAACATAACTGGAATACTGTTCACAGCGGCATTAAACCCAACTCACTCACTGACTTCAAAAGACACTGAAACTAATGGAATTCAAGGATACCCATCCTTCACTACCATAGTAAGCGGAAGCTACTGACCTCCAAACTGAATGTCACGACCAACTTGCATAGAATTAACATTATTCATTGCAAGTGAACATAACTCAGAACAAACACCTCTTCTTTTCCTTTCAAAAGGCAATGATTAATTGATTAAGAAACGAGCCTTTTCTTCAGCAACATTGAACCGAAGCATCCTGTGCAACTGTGGTAATTTGAACTCAAGTTCAAGGCCACAATTGATCACAGTATCCATGCAACAGGAAACAAAACACCCATATTACATTTCTTTCCTCAAATCAACACAAGATATCGGCAATAATGTTAAGTGTATCACAATCAATGTCTGCAGGGAAACCTCACTAATCTGGGTTACATTAAACTGCATCTCATTTGTGTGGACTTTCCTAAACTGTAAGCCTATTAATCTCAAAAATACTGTTGGGAACGCGCTAAGAGGAACATTACTCCATACACATCCCATGGAATTCTTTATGGATCATAATGTTGTAACATAGTTTGCAGAAATTTGTTCAAAACAAGCAGACAGAACTATATCCTACATACTCAGTAAATCATCTTGTCATAAAAATCAAACTGTGTCACAATTCTGTCCATACTGGCATGTGAATATTGTTCAATATCTGACAGCTCCTCTCGAACATGTTAGCATATCTATCACAAAACCAACCTCAAATGTGTTTAACGTAGTAAATGTTGAATTCTATACATAATCAGCACACAAATATCACATGCTTCCACAGGAGATTTGGCTTGGGTAAGATCAAGTGATATCTCCTAGTAAAGCAATGAAATTGCATCGCAATCTCTTACATGAATACCATGACATCACAATCAGATGACATCACTAATCTATCTGCCAATGAAGCTGGTTAGCTGCAGTTTTTACACACAAGACAATGTAAGCTTCAAGTTGAAAAAGTTCCAAGAATTATTTGGATGATAAATAGATGAATAAATTTATGTTGTTTATGCAAACCTCAAGGTTTTAAAATTTTATGAACTAGGGTTGATATATTTGACATCTAAACACACTTAGGTGAGATTTTGTATATTTTAACTCTGCATGAATTGCATAAAGTGACACCTCAGTCATCTGGACTATAATGATCCCAGGGAAATTGTCCAGATTAAACAAGTTCCAATTTAACAAAGGATTCGTAGGTAGTATCTCTATGATAACACATATATGTACAGTTATCTTACGCAAGACAGGGCTTCCAGATTAACAAGGTTTGGATTAATGAGGTTTTACTGTATCGTCCAGTCCCATAATACTACAAACATACATCAAACATACCAAAAGCACAAAATATATTTGTGCACCAATATTTTCTTTAGTACTAACTCTTTCAATCGTTCACTCCACAAATACTTTCGAAACAAAAACTTTTCACAATATACAGTAACAATATAAAAACAAAGTATATTTGTAAACTAATTATTTCTTCAGTACTTACTCCTTCAAAACTCAACACATCCTTTTGAGCAAAATTCTTACTTCACGTTTAAAGCACAATATTTGAAAAATGATAATTTACTTAGATCTTACTTATAGAAAATGTCCACAAATGCTCAGGAACAAAGCCCTTGAATATATTTAGACACAGACTAAATACGTACAAGTGTTAAACTCACCAAGACAAGTTGAGCAAACGATGTTGAAAGTACGAGAGACCACTGATCCTTGTCTGTGACTGTGGTCGTAGTGTTGGAGGATATGTCTATACTCTCAAGCCGACATGCAAATGCTAAGGTCAGTCACAGTCACGACAGGCTATAATCATCCCCAAATGGTGGCACGAAAAACCTTTTTGTTCCACGACCTGTAAAAATTACAGGAAAGACAGCAACCCTGTCTCACGCCTGCTCTTGCCCTCAATATGATGGAGCCATTTACAACCGCAGTCTGTCAGGCCTGCCCGTCATGACCATATATAAAGATATATATATACACTGATTCCCATCAGCCTTAACGCAAAAGCTGTCATACGTTGTGATGGGACATAGAACATAACATTCACAATACTGACAGAATTCACACAACCTTACCATGCTTTCAGAGTGTTATTATTCTGATATTTGACGGCCCTTTATATGTATACTACACAAAAGAAGTTAAAAAACACCTGATTCCTTCATATGACTGTAGTTAGTCTGTCAATGCATGACAGAATATCTATGCATAGTCATATGAAAGAATCGGTGTTCTATAACTTCTTTTAAGTTGTGAATATAAAAGATATCTGCCTACACAGGTACACCCACAGTATATTTCACAAAGTGTTTGTTGTTATTACAGCACAATGTATTAAAGCGTATGGGCCTTAAACTATTACCCAACAAACTCTATTTTCCACATGACTGATCATAGTATGGTAAATTTTACACCCATGTAATAGTGCATTACAAACTTGTCTCACAATCCATAGATGGAATAAAAGATAAGTGTTTTGATCACAATGTGAAAGGACCAACTCACAAATGCTGTTTCTTCCAAACTTTCTAATGCAGTGTTGTTATCTGATACAGCCTTAGTTTGTCTGTTTGTTTGTTTGTTTGTTTGTTTGTTTGACCCAGCAATATGCAGCAGTCTGTAAATAATTAAGTCTGGACCAGACGATCCTGTGATTGACATCATGAACATTGATTTACACATTTGGGATACATGGACATACAATCAACCAAGTCACTGAGACTGACCTTCCCATCCATTAGGTTTGCTCTGATGACCAGCATGTTGGACCTTATTTTTGAAGATTTAAGAATATAGCCAGAACTCCCTAGTTTTCTTATGATCAGGAAGTCCTAGGTTCCTCCATATTTCTACAGTTCAAGATAGGAAAATATATCCAATAAAGCTCAAAATCAATATCGTGCTGTGTTCTGAAGGACCTATAGCTGTCTCTGAAGAGGTATTCCCAATACCTGCATGTCAGGTTATTGGTATTTATGTTTCAAATCAAGATAAACATATGATTAAATTGGCACTTCCATTCACTAGACCAAAAAGTTTTAATGAAATTGTTAACTCATCCAACCTCGATCGACAAAGTACATGGACATATTTCAAAATAATATTACATGCAACATTTCAATCATTATATAAGTAATAGTGTCCCAATAAAAGAACAAAAATGCTAAAAAGACTATTAGCTTTTTTTTGTTGCAATACTGATATTTCACCTTCAAATAGCCATCAAAACATCACTTACTCATCTTACTAGTATCATTTACTGACAATTTCAATTTTATTTTGTTAATAAGTAACGCACATGTTCAGAGACCAAGTACCACACATAATATGTGTTGAGTGATCCAGAAGAAAGATTGTTACCTTATATGCTCACAGGAAACTGCTTCAGGTGTATTGATATATACATTGATATCAAATGAATACAAGCCCCTCACTCAACACACATCAGTTCAGCTTAAGATCACCAGCTCTGGGTGTGGTCTATGCCAAATTCGTAATAAACCAATAAGTATGTTGCTTTTCACGCCTGACAGCCTAAAACGATAGAACCATGACCAACACAGCACTACAGCCATTGTTGTCTGTGTGTCACTCAGGGTGTATCCTGTACTGCATTATCCCAACATTTAACCAGGATAACACCAAACATAATAATTAACAGAATTATCTGACATGTGCATTCCAAAGGCAGCCTTAGCGCTGGGTGTGTCACATTTCTCCATAGGCCACCTCACACAAATATTCCCATACAACACAATACCACACGTGTCAATACTCAGAGGATACTCTGCTTGGTAAGGTATTAGATCATTGACATAAGTCGGAGAGGAACTGGGGAAAGAAGGAAATGGGCCTGTGACAACAGACACCTTATCATGTTGAAATGGGATAAAGTTACTGTTTGTGAGTACAACTCATTTTCAACTTTATGTACAATGTCATTGATCTTTTTCAATAGTATTTATTGTTAATCATGTCAATAGAGTATATCAATGATTCTTAACTAAGTGCCAGATAAGTAAAATCGGTAAAAATACTTATTACTTAGCTTATATTGTGTATTTTCAATGATTATTATAAATGAGAAGATTTAAAAATTGACATTCACTTTGTGTGAGTTCATTGGAGTATGAACCTTCATAGAGTGGGGGCCAAACTCAATGAACGTCAGAGCTTGAAACCTTCCGTCATCACCAAACTCACAATTAATATATTCACAATTAATATATATTCACAGAATATTTTCAGTTTCTTATACTGTTCATCTCAAAACTCTCACCAAAACTGCAGAATATTTTTAAACTCTCTCAGTCACAACATGAGCTAACAGTATTTCAATGTATATGAAATTCTATTCCTCTGTTTCATTCAAGTGATAAAAGATTACCGCCCATCTCAAAGATTGATCAGTGTCTTCCAATACCAGGACAGGCTACATATAGATTTATAGCATCGATATACATTTCTACATCATGAAAGTCTTCATCAAGCCAAGATATGTATACATAGAGCCAGAAAAAATATTCTAATTACATAAAGTGTTTGTAATTGCTGTAAGAATTATCAGTAATGGCTATGCTTTCTCAGAAAGATCAATATGAGTAGAATCATATGTCAATGAAAAACACAATCAAAATATACTAGCAGTATTAACAGCAGCAAGCTCTCCACACAGGAAGTACGTAATTTCCTTCACTTCCTCTTCACTGTACACCACCTGACAATGTCTTGACTGGCCGTTATTGTCCGTATTTCCCCACTTACATAATGGTCATGTTATCGTGTTATCATCAGTGTGCAGGATTCTGATATCACAGCATAACAATGGGGAAATACATATGACACAAGAATATAGAAGTGTCCAAAATAGAAGACACTGTCAAACGGACACCGACGCAAGTGTAGAAATTCCAGGAGTAGGGCAATTGCGTTTCAACTAATTGACTGTTTACTGACGGACAATTGCCATCCAAATTTTAAAAAAGATCAGAATCACACATTAAACTAACTTTGTTAATCCTCATTATTTGGGATCGGTTGTTAATCTATCCATTTGTTCCACACTATTTCAGTTACATCACAGCTTGTCACCTTAAAGGGGGGCTATGCTCCACAGTCGGACTCATATCTCCTGTCTAGGTTGTAATTAGTGCTATGTGCAACTGAGACCTCATTTCTGTATGATTGTGACATTGACTTCTAGATTGACAGTTCATGTAATGTTTTAGGGGACAGCGAAAGTTGTGTATGATTGACTTGCAACAAATTTGCTGGGGCTGCCCATTTGCCTGAGTCTAGGTCCCCTTTAATGTGGGTAGAAAGATCAAATCCCTGTAAAGATACAGGTTAGAATTGGTCTTAACAACCCATACTTGTCTCCCCCCGAAGATCAAGGTTAGAATTGGTCTTCAGCAACCCAGGTTTGTTGTAAGAGGTGGCAAACAGGAACGGGTGGTCAGACTCACATCATATCTAGATTGTGAAGATTGATGCTCATGATGTCAATCCATGGATTATCTCTTCCAGACTTGCATATTTACAGACCGCCATCACATAGCTAGAACATTTCTGAGTGCGGCATTAAACAACAAACAAACACAGCCCAAAGTGATGCAGGTCTGCACACGTCATTGCTGTTCAACACTCACGTATGGTAAGGTCAATGTGTATCAACATCAGGATACAACTCATAGCAATAGTAAAACTCTGTTGAAAGAATATGGTATCTGGCAACACGTCTGCCTTACCATACCAATAATTCTTGTATTTGATTGACATACTGTAACCAACACAAGATACCAGACAATAAGCATTGAATAATCCAATAATACAACATTAGAGAAAAATAGCCATTATCAATTAACTATTTGATGTGCATGGTGTGGTACTTGGGGGATAAATTTCATATAAAAAATGTTAGAAACGGCCTTAGGTTTCAGACTTAAAATTTATACTTAAAATTTCATATTGATGACACTGATAAGCATGATAATATGCAAAAATTTGTAATAGCTCAAGCATAAAACATTAATAATAATAATAATAATAATAATAATAATAAACACAGATGTAAAGGGGGAAACACATTCCACATAAGATCTTTCCAAAATCAAATTTTTCATCCTTTAAGTTATTAATAATCTGAAGAATATTCTAAGTTTCAAAAATAAAAGGCAGTCTTCAAATTTGTAACGTAAAACGTCACTCACTCAGAGTCTAACAATGTGACTGTATCCATGTCCTTCTGTGTCCAAATAAACCATCTTTCAAAATGTAATGAAAAAAGTAGTAAATGTCCTCTGGCTGATATAAGTTCATATAGAATCTCTAGTCACATGATTTGGGTGAAACGGAGGAACTTTGAGTGACATCACTTCCTGAGACGGTTGCTGAAAGAAGGGGGCGGTATCCGTGGAGACGACACAGTTTGCTTCCTTGATTTATAATATGACAAAAAATGTCACTGAAATATAAGCTGGGTGTTGTTGATGGCAGGATTTGAACAATGGTATTGAGAGATAATCATTATAATTATAATGGTTTTTAGGATGATAACTACACATGAATAATAGCCATTATTACCAACAGAAGAGCTATGTTTTCGTATTCTCAAATTAAATCACAATAAAAGAAGTAAAAAGAGATTATGTTTTACATTTAACCAGTTTGATTTTCTATTTCATTTTTGACCAACTTTTGTCATCAAGTTTTTATCATCATTTATAACTCAAACAAAATCAATAAATCCTTTTTAACAAAAATCAAATCAAGGCCATGCTGACTGAAACTTCTGTTTATCATTTAAACAAAACAACAACACAGTTATCAGGTAAACCAATACCAAGACATTCTTGTACCAAACAAAGAGTGAAACCCGACTCTGTATTATCTTCGCATCCCAGTGTAGCATGTACCATCATACAGTGTGTTGACCTTTAATTAAACCATGTCTGATCCCTAAATGAATTGCCAGACAGCGCCTTAGGGTAACCTTTTGTATTTGCACAGATGGGGGGAGGGGGATGTTTGAAGAAAAGAATGGGTTGGGGCAGTCCATTAATCTGTTCATGTTCTAGTTTGTTTGTTTGTTTGTTTGTTTGTTTGTTTGTTTGGTGTTTAACGATGCACTCAGCAATATTTCGAGCTATATGGCGGCGGTATGTAAATAATCAAGTCTGGACCAAACAATCCAGTGATTGACATCATGAGCATCAATTCATGCAATTGGGATACGATAACATGCATCAACAAAGTCAGCAAGCCTGACCAACCGATCCCGTTAGTCGCCTCTTATTCTAACACGGATCTTCACGGGTCGTTCATGTTGTAAATAAAACATTCTAAATACAACATGTATGGAGTGGTCACATTTGAAAGTTTTAGGAATGTGTTTGTTTATTCAATTTAGAATTGTTATAACCATTTCACAGCCATGATACAACCACAACCCAACCAAGCACAGCCATGTCACAATCATGTTACAACCCTGATGTACAGTGATGCTAAAGCCATAACTAACAGGATCGGGTGGTCAGGCTCGTTGACTTGGTCAATGCAAGTCATCATATCCCAATTGCATAGATTGATGCTCATGATGTCAATCACTTGACTGTATCGCCCAGATGATTACAGACCTTCGTCATATAGCTGGAATAGGAATGTTGCTGAGTGCTGCATTAAACAAACAAACAAACAAACAGACAAAACCAAACACTACATCTTCCACACACTTGATACCCTAGACCTGCATGCAGTCCATATAGCAATGTTATAATCCCCAGCTGAGATAATTTGTAGGATCCTGATATATAGAGGGGAGACAACTTAATATTGAAAACCTAAGAATCCAAGATGGAAATAGTCTTAAATCTTAAAACACATTTCCTTGATACTCTTTCTAACAAAAATAATTCTAAAAAATGAATTCATACTTTTTAACAAACAAAATCAACATGACAGTCATCTATTGTTCAAATGAAGTGCTTAAAGTACTGTATGACCTAAACTCTGGCTAACCTTTGAGACAAACTTAGGACGTAATTAATTAGGTACGGATCCTGTCCTTGTCTCTCGTCATTTGGTACCAGCCTCCCATCACCCCAGTACTTGCTCACAGGCCTCGACTGTTATAACAAGCTCATGGCAGAGGCAGCTTGTGAAAACAGACTCCAGCTATGTTAATATTTGTGTCATAAGATTTGAGGTGCAAGTTGACAATTTCAAATCCATTCTTTGTCATTTTTCTTAAAGTCACTTGTGAAAGAATAATATTTCTCATTAGGCTCTGTCATTTTTTAGCAATTTGGAGCATGGTTGTTTTCATATTCCCACCATGAACTAACACATTGGAATATTTTGTGAATTGTGAACTAGATGCCCTTTTCTGTAAATAATAGGGTGATGGGTTGATTGACAAGCTATAGCTGTCTGCTTAGAAGGTCATGGAACTCAATAAACTTTATCAATGTTTATTTCTTTTCTGATTTTTCATAGAAATATTACAGGTACTATTAAATTTGCAATACTAAACATATGATAACAAACAAATCATTCCAGAGAACAAAAATATTTGCTAAAGTCATCATAGTGTAGACATATTACATACTGATTTCAAGATGTCACACAAAATACATCTCGACATTTGCAGAAATCATCACAATTCTTCCTTGTCAACTCATAAACTAAAAAACAGTTTTTGCTTTTCCTGAACTTGCTAACTTAAATATTTCAGTGACTTAATTTCATTTAGTTTACTGCAATGTTTTGCAATTTTCTTTTTTCTCTGCATTTTAAAACTACATTCTTAAGCATAATTCTTATTTTAACATAAGAGGTTTTTCACCAAGTTTTTCTCTATACTCAGATCACCATACACTATGTTATAGTACAGTAACACAATCATT